CCGGTTTCTTCAGAATCCTGGGATATAATATTTCTGGTCCTGCAATTTGAACTCATCTAAAGTGGAAAGGTGTTTTCTTACTGTTCTCCTCTCCCCCCCATTTTGTCCTTTCCTGTTCTGTCTCCCACCCTGCTATTTTTGATAGATTGGACTATTTTTTCCTGTTGCATGTGGACAGATGCAAAGAAGGAATTAAGCAGTTCCATTTTTCCTTGACACTCATCACTATCTTGCCATCTTCTCCTTTAATAGACCTATCATTTCTTGACTTTTTTCTTGTTCTTTACATATGTTGAAAAAACTTTTAAAAATTATTTTTGGCATTTGTTGCAAATCTTAGTTCATTCTGATCCTTAATCATATGATTCCATCCTTGCAGGTTCAGGCTATTGGTCAGTATTTTGTTTTAGTTATGTGTGTGTCTGTCCATTCCAAGTCTTACTTCATTCTGAGCATTAGCTTTCCTTCTTTCCATGCTTGCAGATTCAGAGAACCATTCTGGGCACTATCCAAATGGAACACCATTGACCTGAAATAACTTACTTTATGTATGGAATATTTTGAAGTAGTTTATTTTTTACTGTTTTATTAAACTTAACCACAAAAAGTCTATTTTGCAAATCTAGTTTTGCACACTTCCCTGAGCAAATTCATAGGAAACCTGGCAGATCCAATCTTATAATGGTTAACCAGTATTTATTTATTTATTATGCAATGAAATTAATTTTCCAACAGTTTCTGTCCTTTTAAAAACTGAATTCCGGCAAACTTATTAGTGTACAGTGTAATTTGGTACATAAGGGATTCTCCAAAAACAAATTATGGATAGTATCAACTAAAGAAAGTAAATCATTATTTCTCAGTGATAATGAGAGATGGGGAATTTATTTTCTAAACAAGATCCAGGTAGAGAAATATACTTTGAATTATCCTAAAACAAAAGTTGTTTTTAAGTGACCAAATTGGTCATTTTTGAGCAGTCAGTTTCCCCCTTTTAAAGCAGTGAGATACTTACATCGAATAACTATCCCAAAATTTGTAGGGCGTTAACAACTTGACATGCAGCAATGCACTTTTCACAGCAATTTTGGAGGGCTGATACAAAAAAATACCATTTGAACTGAGATTGTTTCCCAGTAGACAAGGAAACCATAATTCCTGCCCTGCAACTCTGCATCTTCTGCAAGGACTCACCTAATAAAACACCCAAGAAATACTGATCCCTTTTATCAGTAGTAGTATTACTACTATTATCAGATCAGCACAAAGTGGCTTCTCTAAATGTGGCCAAATTTTGTTATACTATATGCAAAATTAGGCAGATTCTAACTGCCCACTGATAATCCATCACTAATTGTAATATTTTGTCTGCTTTTATTTGTAATGCTGGTCTAAAAATTGATTGATCGAAATGTCCAAATTGGTCTGAAATCAAATTTGTAGTTGATGCACAGTCCTGGTGCAATAATAATGATTAGAGTGGTTTCAGTTGAAACTTTTATTGAACAATTGATCTTTCTTATTTATCAAATCCTATTCTAGTGTTACAAAAAAAAGAGAGTATCTTTTATTAGCAGTGGCTGTAAAATCATGCTCTAAATAACTTCAGCTTTCCTGGGGTCAGTTGTGAAAATGTACTTGTTGCAGAAACGTTTAATTGCATGAGAATTCAAATACCATCCTAGATATATATTGCAGTACTGCTCAAATGTTAAATTATATTTTCCTATTGATGCTGCTATGTTATAGGATAGTGGATTATTGGAGTAACAAGGATTTTTTTTTTTAGCCTCCTTACCCAGGTATAGAACAGCCTCCCCATCACCCCTACTACCAGCACCATGCTCCTCCTCCACAGGCTCACCCTCCTTACTCAGGACACCATCCCATGCCACATGATGCACGGTACAGGGATAAGCGAGTGGTAAGTGTAGCCTGGATCATTGTTTTTCCAAATTAGGAAAATGTACACATCAGATTTCATTGAAAATCACTATATTCATTCTAAAATATCTATGGCTAAACATCTAGGACTAGATAGTTACAGAAGAGCTAATTTAATGTAGCGTTTAAGGCATTAAGCTAGAAAATGGAAGATCATGAGTTCTGATTCCATTTTAGATAGAAAGCCAAATGGGTGAATAATCACTTGGAATAGTCATTTTCAGCTCTAGGTAGGAGAATGGCAAACCACTTCCAAAAACTTTGCAAAAATGCTGCAGGAACTTGCCCAGACTGTCTCCTATAATCAGACACAATTGAAAAGAAAGGAGGAAAAGATATTTACATATTTGTAAAACTCAATGTGGCAAGGTTTGCAGGCAGCATATTTCAAAAATTTCAGTTAAAAAAAATAAAGATCAGTATATGGAAGCTGCAGAATGTAAAGAATATGGCCCTGAGGAAGAGAGGGGAGAGTTACCAAATAATAAACATAGATTAAGTCTAGGACATGTAGAAGCTATGTGGAAAGAATTCCTGACAGACATCTTCCTAAATCACATGGTTATAAGAGATGGGCGGCAGCACAATTCAGACTTGCACTATTATTATTACCTAAATCAAGTGGTTTTTAGTATATAGTAACAGTTTTATTAAATATGTTAACATTACAACAGTGAACTATCGCTGGATAATTGGTAGCCCTTTTTAGTAACTCCCAAGTTGATAGAAGTTGCAATTTTAAACTTAGTGATATTTAAATTTATTCTGTCTTCCATAGCATGACTATGACATGAGGGTAGATGACTTTCTACGTCGGACACAAGCAGTTGTCAGTGGCCGGAGAAGCAGGCCCAGAGAGAGAGAGCGGGATCGTGAACGAGATCGGCCCCGAGATAACCGAAGAGACAGGGATCGGGAACGAGGGAGGGAGAGGGAGAGGGAAAGAATATGTGATCGGGACAGAGACAGAGGGGAAAGAGGAAGATACAGAAGATAATGTATTGTGAAACTACAGTTACTTAAGGAAGCAAAGGCTTGTATATTTGCGTGTTTACAAGTAGTAAACTTTTATTTTCCTAAGTCATCATACTTGATTGTGTAGATGAATTTATAATTGCCCCTGTTCCAAGCATGCTGTAAGCTGTGAACTGAAATACTTATTTCGGCCAAAAACATGCGAAGCTTGATTCTTCAGTTGATATTTTCATTTAAGCAGCAGTTTAGAAGACAAATTTAAAGAATGTAGAATTTTCCCAACACATTTATCTTAACAATAATTTAATTATATGTTCCTTTGAATATGAGTTATTAGCTGCCATGATTTTTGCTCTGGTTTTTGACATGTAGCTTTTAATATTTCTTGGGGGGGGGGTAAGCGTGGAATGCTGCTATCAAGTACACAAAAATACTGGGTGTGTGATAGTTGGCTGTATGGCAGTATTGAAGCAGTCGCCTTTTGTTTTTCTGTTTCTGTTTTAATTTTTGTAAAGACAAAGCTTGTTCAATAATGAAAGCAATAGTAATATGTTATTGAACCTGTGCTCTGATTGTATTTTGTTTAATGCTCGTCTAATCACCTCACTTGCACCCTTTTTCTTCAAATTAACCATACTGTTTAGAATGTCCACTGTATGTGTGTGTGCATATATGCGTGAGCACAAATACTGTTGTATTCTACATTGCTACCATTTCTTTTTTTATAATAAATTGCTAATAGTCAAATTCCATGGACTGTGATGCTTTTTGGCTTCTTATAAAAGGAAGATTAATGATTAATTTGTCTATGTCATTTCAGGCATTCAGGCCTCAGCATGAGACAGAAAAAGAGGCATTGTCAGGGTTGTTCTAGGTAATGATAACCCAAATAAATTTCCATTCTTATCCAATATATTTAAATTTGTGGCATATATATCTATATTAACAACTCCATAAAAATATCAAGTATGGGAATCTCAGACTCAGGAAAGTGCATAGTTTTGTTATAGAAATAGGAAACTTTTTGAAAATGGTGGCCAGTGAACAGTTCCATGTTAATTTATTTAACCAAGTCCCATGCTATTTATTGCAATTTATTGCCAGTAAGAATGCTTGTTCATGCCTGAGACGAAGCAAATTGTCTATCTGATATTATAGTAGGAATAGCCTGATATTCTAATAATTTATAGTCATTCTCTAATGAAAAAGCTAGAAATATAAAGTTTCTGGACATTTTGGTTCTACAAATAACATTTCTCCTTTTTTCCTACTAAAATAAAATAAATAGCAATACCTGGTGTTCTTTGCCAATGTTGTTATTTTGTCACCATAGGAATATAATGGAGTTTATGTATAATTACTCATAAAATCATTTTAATATAACATTAATATTGATTAACCAATTTGAAAGTGTGGTTGGGTATTTTTGAAACAAACTATGAGATTAGAAATCAGTTATAATTTATATAGAAAATGCATTGATGTGGTCAATGAAAGGGTTAATATTCTGACTTCAAAACCCTTGTATTTCTATTAAAAATAGTGTTTTCTTTTAACTTTTTTGTGGTGTTTTCTTCTTTTATGGAATAAAAGCATTAAAAGGCCAGAAAGAGGAATTTCTTCCAAAGCTTTTACATTAACAGTTCCTAGAACAAGTAAAGCAATTGGTTAACTCATCTTAATACAGTACGTACTCAAAAAGTCACCTTAATTTAAAATGATCTTCCTCCAGAAAGGAAATACTGTGTCTAGGAGAACAGACTGACTGTTTTTCTCTCCTTTATATACCACATCCCTTGAAGCCTAGTCATGCTAGCAGGACAACAGGATATCCCAGAGGATAGAAATGAATTGTACTCTCTCAAGGACAGTATATCAAGGAATGCAGTTTTTTTTCCCCCTCTGTATAGAAAAGGAAGATAATTTTGTGAGAGTTAATTGTAAATTTTTTACAATCAAAAGAGCCAGTTGGTTGTTTGAGGCAAAAAATTTTGTGTCTTGTCTTAAACACTCACAATTGTAAGAAAACAATGCAGTCAACCATCCCATTCATTCACCCAACGAAGAAAGATCCTGGGCCATTGTTTTGCCAAGAGTATATTTACTGGTGCTTAAATGGTTACAGAAGTTTAACAAAGCTGGCATTTTGCTGTGCATGCTACACAATTAACATTCCCCTTTCCCTGACCATCTCCCCTATTATCAGCAAACATTCAATTAAGCGCTGGTATCTTTTTTGGGTAATGGGACTTTGGTTTTACGGGCTTTTCTGCTTTGCACTCCGGTGGATGACCTTGGCGAGCAGGTGTTGGCATGTTTAGATTTCTCTTCTTTCTCTCCCTCTTCTCTCCCCCCCCCCCCCCCCCGAAGGTGTCAGGCTTTCAGTTTTGCAAAGCTTGGCTTGGGGGATGGCAGATGCATAATCAATTTTTAAAAATATTTTAAATCTTGAGAAAACAGAAATTTTGGAATTTTTCCTCTAACCCTTTACAGCTGCTAAAGCCCATTTGTTGATACGAATATTGCACAAGACAGGCAGTGAATTCCAGTGAAGGCTCTCAAGTATTTTCTGATAGAAGTTACAAAAACTATTGTGAAAGCAGCAATTTTTGGATACTTTTGTTTGTTAGTCTTAATACATAACAAAGATGTGTCCATCTACAATGCAACACAACCAAAAGTTCTATATAAATTACTGTTTAATCTGATTTTCTCATACTTTTGTTTGACAGCTGAAGATAAGTTCATCACTTAGTCTTACCTAATTCTCTCTTATATTAGATAAGATGTTCCATGAACATTTTTAAACAAGTGATTGGCATTTTGAGGAAAAAAATTATACATATGAATTTCTAAATAAATTAGATTTGGAGAAAGAATTATAGAGAAGCATTTGCAAAAAAATACTTCTCATTATAGCTCAATTTCCAGTTCAGAAATACTTAACTACCAATCAAATCAAAACAAAACTAGTTAAATTTGTTAACTATTTACACATACAAATAAATTTAATGTTATGAATGGAATCTAATTATATGGAAATGTTCAACATAAATCTTACTGTACTAATAATGAGCATAAACTATGTTAATCAGGTAATGGAGACTGAGTCTCAGAAAAATTAATCTGTTTTTGATTTTTGTAAAATGTTGCCACATTTCCAAAAACAATACGAACAGCATTTAAAAGTGATGAATGCAAAAACTACTGTGCAGCCAATCAAGAAGGCTATGACATCTAGACAGTGATACTGATACCAAGTCAAGTGATAGGCAGCTACTTGCAAATGCTTGGCACCTTTGTGACGTATGACAAATTCAATCCAAAAGATAGCCCGGTCCAGTGGCTTTATCGGTTGCTCATGATGGAACTGAGATACTTTTAAAGCATTTTTCTTAAAACTGGAAAAATTAAAGGACACAGAAAAGAGTAAATTAGAGTCAGAAATCAGCTTTCTATTGTTTTTAAGAACTTCAGTCTTCAAGCACTTATGGACTTTACATCAAACAATCTACCGATTTGTCAAAATTCAAACTGGCGTAGTGCCTGTTACAATTTCTTACCTGAAATCAGTTCAATTACTATTATAACCAACCGCTAATTTATAGTCCATTAAAATTCTATTTTATCTTCAATAACACTTGCATTCTATTCATTTTCATGTATAAAAAATATTATCAAAAAGTTGGGTAGAATTTTAAGATCCTTTTCTGAACAATGAATTTAGGTATACTGAACAAAGCACAAATGCGTTCTATATGAGGGAAAGGATGATGCTCCAAATTCCATATAGTCCTAAGTAGCACAGATAATTGGTAGGGAATCCAGTCCAGTAAAATGCTCAGAGTACATATTCTACTATTACCTCTTTATAGATATACAAAAATTAGAGATAATTGAGATAAAATATCATAACTGGCAAAGTAACCAGAATTACTATTTTTGCAAAAATAATCATGACATCAAAGAAAAAACCAGAAAATTAATTACTATTTTAGACATAATCTGTATTCTGAAGAGAGTTTATAAACAACTTACAAATCATTATGAATGACAGTATTTACAGCATTTACTAAATCTTCTGCTTTCATTGTGTGGATGTCCAGTTCAACAGCCATTCCTTTCACCTTCATATGGATAATATTATCAGTCTGGTCTGCAAATAGGGGAATCCCTACTATGGGAATTGCATGGTAAATGGCTTCATAAATTCCATTTGTTCCGCCATGTGTTATAAATGCTTTGGTCTTTGGATGGCCTAGAATAAAAAGATGAAAATGTTCTGACAAAATCCTTTAGGATATGAGCAAAGTTACTATTTTATTTAGTGTAAAGGAGTATAAGGTGTCTCACCAAGAAGATCATTTTGTGGTATCCAATCATAGGTCCTGGTATTGGCTCCAAGCATTTCTAGCTTTTTCCCTTTATACCGCCAAATAACCTAGGGTAAATATAATTGGAATGCTATTTCATGTAGTCCAAATTGCAAACAATGTTAGAATTTTTCCTAGCTCATGAATTTCAGATTTTCTAATTTGTTTGGGTTTGGGGGATTGAATTGGGTCATGGATCTTTTAATGTTGCATTCTTGTGAAACTGCTGAAACTCCAAGGGATTACAAGATAGTTTAAATGCAATAAATAATTAAAATTACATGCCATTCTTTTTTATGACAATAAAATAGTGAACTCAATTTACTAGTAATTCTTGTTCTGAATTCTACTTCTATTTAAAACATTTATGTTGCATAACCAGAATTTAATAGATGTATTTCTTCTGTCTTTTATCATAAACCTAATAGAAAATATGAGTTTTAACAAAAAGTATTTGTAATCTCTTCCTTAGTATTGTGGGAATTTTCAGAAAGAAGTAACTTATATAAAATCAGTTGAAAATGCACATGACATACTCCAAAGAAGTTAAAAGTTATCAGGATAAGAAAATTTTAGACACAGTTCAATTAAATGAAAATCAGTAAATCAGCAGTTTATTGGAGAAGAAAATGAACAGATTTCTGGAATATCCGTAAAGTGTCCTTCCTCACAAAAATTTGTAGACTGACCTTCTGTGGAAGTTGGCTGAGTGCTGATGCAATTATATTATTTTTTTCATCTGTTAAGTTTTGAACTAATGAACCAAAGGAAAATACTACAATACCATGTTCACCTGAACTCTGTACAAAATTTTCCATTTCCTGTTAAAAGCAAAAGGAAGAAAGAATCAGACCTCTTTATCATTGCATGAAATGTTACATTTACTTTGGTTGGCCATGATTAGTGTGCTCAAACCACATAATTTTTGATCATAATGCAAGATGATGGACCAGGAAAAAACTGCATGTAGTAATTTGCATTTGAAGGAAGCAGAAGAAATACAATAACAATAAGTTGGAAGAACTTTGGAGATCTTGTAGTCTAACCCCTTGCTCAAGCAGGAGACACCATACCATTTCAGACAAATGGGTGTCTGCCTTAATGAAGCTTGTCCATCCCAAGGATAAAACACCCAGACACAAATTGAGCATTATGATATGTGGAGTACAATGCAGCAAGACGTGCAGAGCTCTACATTGGGGAAACAAAACAACCACTTCATAAACGCATGGCACAACATAGGAGAACAAACCCATCAGGACAAGATTCAGTAGTCCATTTGCATTTAAAAGGCAAAGACCACTCTTTTGAAGACAGCAAAGTTCACATTTTGGACAGCCGGTTAGAAAGGGGGGGGTCAAAGAGGCCATCTATGTCAAAATTGAAACAGCCCTCTCTTGACAGAGGGTGAGGGTTACAACATCATCTATATTCAGTTTACAATACAGTCCTTTCAGCAGTTCCAAGAAAGCTCCACACCCATTTGCACTACATAGGTGACCCTGAGGACTCAGATAAACCCCAAGTGGCCTCAATGACTCTCTAAAAGAATACAAATGGCCAGTTGTCAGCAGGGTGAACTAAGAGCAAATGTATTTATTTACATTGAATTAGATAGATTAAGGTTTGAACTGGAAACATGGTGGCTTTCATTTTATAGTTTTAACTATTAATGCAGTATCAATTTATTCAGATTGCGATTCAAGGCAGGCAAGCTCGCAATAAATCAAACAACTTAAGTAACGTTTATTGAAAAAAATTAGGAATCCATAAACAATAGAATTCCTGCAACTGGTGTAATTCATGACCCAGTGTCAGGCATGAAAGACATGTGAAGTTCCAATTAAACATATTATTGCTAATTATTGCTAATGCCCATGCACAAGAATATTCTCAACTAATAGTTAAAGCCAGCTACGATAAGGATCAACAGAATTCACAGTGGGTTGTACTTAATGCATTTGTAGCTACGTAGCAAGTCTGATCCCTTTTACTCCCACTGTCATACCCCTTCTCTTTCAACAGTCACCCCTTCTTCCATGTCATCTTTATAGCTGCCCTCCACTTCTTGCATGGTTTCTTCAGAATCTGTGTTCTCATGTGAACTTGGCAGGGCAGGCAGTAAAGCCATTTCAAAGGAATCTTCTTCACCCATGTCCAAATCAACCTCTGATCCAGCTGGCGCTTGCTGAAAAAAAATATTAATCTCCTACCCACCCCTTGGGATGTGAAGGGCATAAGTGGAGGTTATTCAATACTCAACCTCTCCTGGATGAGTCCACAGAGGCTGATTAACCCCTTCAGCTACTGATTCTTAGGGCAGGTCACAGGGCTAGAAGCTTAGTCAGTCAAGGTTAACCAGAGAAATGATGGTGAAACTACTGAATCAATTCAGGAACATGGACATATCTGGCTTTCTCCCAAGAGTGTTCAGATTCTGAGTATACTTTCGAATGCATCAGATACTGTGTTCCTTTGCCCTTTATCCTGGAGCCTGCAATCTCTATCACTTCACATTCCTTTTCTCTTTCCTCAACCAATAGCAGTGGGGTCAGGTACTGGAAGCTCAAGGTGCTAGGGGCTTTTCTTTTGAGTATGGTGAATGGTGAAAGATTGGGTTTTCATTGAGAGGGCAACTGTAAACGAAATGCTACAGGATTGAGCTAGTGGGTGTCCTTGAAGGGATGCACAAAATTTGCATCTAGCTTCTTAAACAGTATTGCAGTGATTTAGAATGTGGTAATAGCAAAACTTCGTCTCCTGTAGCTATAGGAAGCCTTCCTGTCAATGGGCATCTGCAACCTTCTTGTATAACTGCTTCCCTGTTCTAGTTGCTGTTTCATTGGTGTTTGGGCAACAAGCTACTCTTGCAAAAAAAACCCCACAACTTGTGATACAGAGCCCTCTTCTCAGGCTCCCTGATAAAACTGTCAGATAATCAGATATGTACTGTACAAAGTTTGAAAGGGGTGATAGCAATTGATGTGTGGAGACAAGTTTTTGTATGAAAATTCTGCCAATGGTAGGGGTGAGGGCCTTGGGTGTATGTGCAATAGCTTCTCAAATACTGTTGTAGCATTTGATTAGTCTTTTCCATCTCACCATTTGTAACTGAGTGGTGGGCTGAAGACAAACTTACTTGGACATTGGAAGAGTACCCTCCAAAACTTGGAGAGAAATTGCCCGAGACCAGTCTAGATACTATTGCTCTCTAATGAAAGACATGGTCCAAAAAAAGTTGAGCAGTTCTTTGGCAGTGGGCAGCCCTTACAAAGGATGAAGTGAGCCATCCTCATAAACAGATTCATTACAACTAATATAGATATGTAGTGAAGAATAGCAAGTAAATCAATAATAAAATTGAGAGAGGCTGAATGCCAAGGGTGTGGGGTTGTAACAGAGGAGGGGGAGTTGTGTTATGGCCCACCAGTGGATTGGCAGCAGATTCGGATAGTGAGGAGGTTGGGGAGGAACATGGGCCAGTCCTGGAGCCTGGGGAAGGCTCTGATGAGGGCTCTATGTCGGAGGCAGAGAAGGGGCCAGGGCAGGATGCCAGTTATCAGATGCCTTCAGAGTCAGACATCAGTGAGGCAGACAAACAGATGGAGCCTGTTCCCAGTGTGCGCATGCACAGAGTTTCCAGACGAAGGGAATAGCTGAAGAACAAGGGTCGACTTGGGAGTAAGGCCACAGGTGGATGATGAATGGCCCTTCCCAGAGGGAATAAAAGAGGAGCAAAAGGGGAGTGGAGTTTGCAGGAGACAATTAGTTCACCTAATTGGTTTGTCACTTTCCCAGAATCTTTGCCAAGTTTTGAAGATATCGACCTGGCAGCTCTTCAAGCCAGATAAGGTCTGTGACTAAATTCTCCCTTGAAAGACTTTGCTGAAGATGAATGAGAGGAATTCATTGTTTGTTTAATAAAATGGGTTTTATTGGGGCCAGGATTCTGCTTTGTGATTTTTGGGGAAGCCTAGGTCAGAACAAGTTGTAACAGCTCTGCTGGCTTCTGATGGTGGGATTTACCCTTCTGTGGGTACTGCAAGATACCACCTACCCCTTCATATCCACTGCCATTTAGACCACCAAATTTCTTAATATTCTATGCAGTGTTTTGAACACACCCCCATGCCCCGTTGTTTGGTTATCATGGCAAAGCTGCTAAATCTCTCAAAGCTGAAGGAACAATTCTGCTCTTGTGTTTAACACTCTTTGCTCCACTGAAAACAGATACGGTACCTTGTGGGGCCTGAAAGAAGTGGTCTAGAAGTTGTTGTGTCTTGATCCTGGTGATTAAGTCCTGGTGTGCTTGAGGACACCAATGTCCCTTGTGTGAGTACATGTTGGAAATTAGAAGGCTGTAAGATGCTGGCACCTATTGGGTTTGGGAATGAATGTGAGTCCTCTGGTTTATGGGACAGCATGTTGGCATCAAATTCTTCAAACCTGGGACAAACTGTATGTAGAAGTCAAATAGGAAGAATAGACTCCGTCTAACTCACCTTGGATCATTACAGCATTTCTAGATTTTTATGGTCAGTGTTGACTTTGATGCGACAGTGCACGCTTTCCAAAAAATGTCTCCACTAGGAGAAGGCTGGCTTGACTGCTAATAATTTTTTGTTAAAAATGTCATAGTTTTGTTTCAGAGTAGTCAAGGTCCTTGAGAAAAGTACACAAGACAAAGAGCATTTTCCCCCTCATGGTCCTCTTGCAAGAGAAAAGCCCTGACAGCCACATCAGAGGCATCAGTCTGGGTGATGGTTCAGGAAATTTTAGGAGGGGTTGGCTGCAAAGAGCTGTTTTAACTCCTCAGTGGCTGTGAGTATGTCCAAGCAAATTTGATTCCTTTTTTCAATAGCTGTGTTTATGGGCAAAGCATGGGATAATCTTTCTATAAACGTTGCAGATCCTAAGAAGTTCTGAACATACTTAACTGTGCAACGGGGTTGCTACTCAAACACTGCTTGAACTTTCTGAGGATCCATTTGAATTCCATTTGTCGAAATGTGGTAGCCCAAGAAATCTCGCTATTTCAAATAGAAAGCATTTTCTAATTTAGCTAAAAGGTGATTTCCCCTTAGGTTACTGAAGACCTCCTGCTCATAGTGATCATGTGAGATTTGTCTTTCGAGTAGATCAGGATGTCATTCAGATAAAGTACCACAAACTTATCAATAATATCAGATGCAAATCTGATATTAGGGGTAATGGATAATGTCTCACCATCACAGAATTCAACCATTTGTAGTCATGAACAATTCATATGGGAACGTCACCACTTGGTTTGTGGTGTCTGAATCTTCTTGAGGATGAAAAAGGTAGCTGCTGAAATTGGTGACTTCAAAGGTCTAATAAAGTCTTTCTGCAACTTAGAGTCCAAACACTGGTTTAAAACCAATAACTCCTTAGCTGACAAGCTTCTTAGAAAGTATTTTAGTTCCTCGAATTAAGTCTATAGCACTGTTGCAGGTTGTGTGGAGAGAGGACTGCTGCTTCTTCATCTCCAAATACATCTGCAAAATCTGCATACTTGCTTGGTAGTTTGGGATTTGCTTCCCTGGGATTATGGATGATCAGAGTTTGCCTTGTGGGCATTGTGATCATGGCAAGCCGGATCAGTTCTTGTCCCCAATCCATTGAGGGGTTATGAGGCACCAGTCATTCATCCCAATACAATTGGAAAGTGGAGGTGGCTCATGACATACAAAGTTAATAGCTCTGTGTGTTGCTCTAAAGCAGAGGTCTTCAAACTTGACAGCTTTAAGACTTGTGGACTTCAATTCCCAGAATTCTGAGAGTTGAAGCCCACAAGTCTTAAAGCTGTCAAGTTTGAAGACCTCTGCTCTAAAGTTATCTGCAGGGGGCTTGTGGAGTGTGCAATCAGATCTGCTTTCAAATCTGATGCAAATCACCTTGACTTGCATCAGAAAGAGACTCTGAAGAAATGTAATGCCCTAACCATTGCAAAATCTATAAAATTGTTCGCTGCCCCTGAATCCACCAACACAGCAATAGCTTCCTCCCGCTGGTTGGGTAGGGACAAGGGAACATAAATCTACAATGAAGTAACTTTAAGGGAATGGTTTAGAACAGTGGTTCTCAACCTTCCTAATGCCGCAACTCTTGAATACAGTTCTTCATGTTATGGTGACCCCCAGCAGGGGTAGGTTCTAAATTTTTTTACTACTGGTTCTGTGGGCGTGGTTTATTTTGTGGGCGTGGCTTGGAGGTCATGTGACTGGGTGGGCGTGGCTAGATTCACCTGTAATCAAGGTGGGTTGGACCCTGTAAAACATTGGAAGAAGTGATTAGTAATATAATGTTGGACTTATTTAATGAACTGTTATTAGAAGCTAAAATGCCAGATTCATGGAAAGAGGCATACGTGACACTCATACCTAAAGAAGATACAGATTTACAATTGATTAAAAATTATAGACCGATTTCACTATTAAATGTGAAAATGTAAATGTAGATTACAAGATTTTTGCTTCAATAATGGCAAATAGGTTGAAAAACCGCTAAATGAATATATTCACAGTGACCAAAATGGATTCTTACCAAAAAGGCAAATTAGAGATAACATGAAGATGATTTTGAATACCTTGGAATATTATGAGACTCACCAGAAAAACAAATGGCGTTGATGTTTCTAGATGCACAAAAAGCTTTTGACAATGTGAACTGGCAATTTATGATAAAGCAATTACAGAGAATGGATTTTGGGGTGAGATTTATAAATACTATAAAAACAATATATGACAGACAATTTGCCAAGATAATGATGAATGGAGAAATGACAAGAAAGATTAATATAATGAAGGGCACCAGGCAAGAATTTATCACCATTATTGTTTATTTTGACTCTAGAAGTTTTAAACAGAAACATTAGACTAAGTGATGGGATAAAAGGAATGAAAGTCAAAAAAGAGGAATATAAATTACAAGCGTTCGCTGATTACTTAGTTTTTATTATAGAGGAACCGCAAATAACAGGTCCTAAATTACTAGAACAGCTAGAAGATTATGGAAAAGTATCTGGTTTGAAAATAAAAAAAGATAAAACAAAAATTTTGGTGAAGAATACAACAGAAAAACAAAATAGAGAGATAAAAAGAAAATCTAGACATACAAGTGGTGAAAAAAGTGAAATACTTGGGAGTATACTTAAGTTCAAAATGTGTAACAATAAAAGAAGAAAAGTTAAAGCAACAAATTGAAAAAGACTTGGAAAAATGGAAGAATCTTAAACTATCACTTATGGGTTGGATCGCATTGATAAAGATGAATATATTACCAAGACTATTATTCTTATTCCAAACTGTGCAAATAAAAATTGAAAAGACTTACTTTCAATATCTTAATAAGATCATGAGGAAATTTATATGGCAAAGGAAAAAAGTAAGAATAAATTTAAGAATGTTGCAAGACACGAGAATACAAGAGGGATTTGGTTTACCAAATTGGGAATTATATTATCAAGCAGCAATATTGACATGGTTGAAAGAATGGATTGAATTAGGAAATGCAAGGTTATTAACACTGGAAGGGCATGATTTACAAGTTGGATGGCATGCCTTTTTATGGCATGGTAGAAGTAAGATACACACATACTTTCATAGATATTATATAAGAAATGCATTGTTATTGGTCTGGGAGAAGGTTAGAGGTAAATTTTATGTGAAAATACCAACATGGTTATCAATAACAGAAGCTTTGATACACCCAAATGTCTCTAATTCTGGAAATACTGTCAGATATAATGAGTTATTAACAGATAACGGGGAACTGAAAGAGAAACGAGAATTGGAACAACAGGGAATTGAGATAGATTGGTACATGTATATGCAAATAAGAGCAAGATATGAAAAAGATGCTAAACTATATGGTTTTTATATGGAGAAGACTGAACTGGATAAGATACTCATGGGAACTTTATTAAGAGGAAAACTTAATTAAAAAATGTATAATTTTTTGTTGTATATTGAATTGGAGGAAGAGCAAGTAAAAGAAACAATGATAGCTTGGGGTAGAAATTTTGGTTATCCAATTGAATTTGAAAAATGGCAACAACTATGGGAAAGGAATTATAAATTAACAATGTCAACAGCATATAAGGAAAATCAATATAAGATGTTTTATAGATGGCATATGCCATTGGAGAAGTTAGCAAAAATGTTTAAAGATAAATCAGCTAAATGCTGGAAATGTCATCAAACACCAGGATCTTATTACCATATGTGGTGGACTTGTCCCGAAGCAAAAATTATTGGTACAAGATTAAAATCTGGCTGGAAGAAATGATACAACAACATATTGAATTTAAACCAGAGTTGTTCCTACTGGGTATCTTTCCAGAAAAAAATAGTAAGGAAAATGTATATTTGATTATACATGTAATAACAGCTGCAAGAATTGTGTATGCTCAAAATTGGAAATCAGAGAAAATACCTTTGGAAGAAGAAGTAATAAAAAAAAATTTAGACTGTGCAGAAGTGAATAGATTAACTTTGATGATTAAAGATAAGGAGGAATCAGAATATTTTAAAACATGGAATTATTTTTAGTTGGTTGGAAAAGAGATATACATGATTGATACTATAATGGTGTACGAATGATGATTATAATATTGATTTAGAAATGAAATCTTATAATGGTTTGGATGAATATGAACATTGATGTATTAAATGTTTGTCTGTCTTAAAAAATAAAAAAAATAATTAAAAAAAAAGATGGGTTGGACCCGTTTATATGAAATAATGTTCAAACTCTCTTGCACTTGTTTTATCTTCCCATCCTTGATAACAGATTATTTGGCTCTCTTTTTTAAATGGCCTAGCCTATCTAATGGCGGCATAGTGGCTCTGCAGTTAAGATGCTAGACTTGTTAGCTGGAAAACCAGCAACCTAGGTTCAAGATCTAAGCGCCATATGACTGGGTGAGTTCCCATCCTCAACCAGCTCCTGCCAACCTAGCAATTTAAAAGCATACAAATGCAAGTAGATAAAAAGGTATAACTCCAGTGAGGAGGTAAAAGTGCTCTGTGATGTGATGCTAGCCACATGACCACAGAAATGTCTTACAACAATGCTAGCTCAAGGACCTTGAAATGGAAATGAGCACTATCTCCTATAGTTGACAACAACTAGCAGAGTAAAATCTACAGGGACTCCTTAGACCATCTCTATCACACATTTGTTTCTGCAAAAGCCCAATTTTCTCTTATCCTATTTTTATTTAACTCTGTGAGAATTAAGTCATAAGGTCTGTATAATTAACTCCTAGGTATGGGAGTGATAGCAGCAGGGTTTTTTTTAAATTTGACATACAGTAATTAAAGGTTATCTAAGGCTATTGAGACTCCAACTCAGTTTCTCAATCCAACTAAGATTTAAAGCAGTTAGCTTTTAATTACATTTGACTCAAGCTCAAGAACCCCTTATTTATTCAGAAATGGTTTTTAAAAGATGTAGACTTAGCAATTTTTCAAAGGGATTTTTAATTGGTTTTATTTTACATCCTATGATGTATATTATATCAGTTCTTCATTTGTGTTGAATTGAAGACAGTTCATAAATCACTTGCTTTTTTGAAAAAATAACTTTTGGAAGCACCCTAATAAACACTGGTAGTCCTTGACTTACAACCCCAGTTGACCCCAAAATTTCTGTTGCTAAGTGAAACATTTGTTAAGTGAGTTTTGCCCCTTTTTATGACTTTGCTTGACATAGTTGTTAAGTGAATAACTGCAATTGTTAAGTTAGCAACATGGTTGTTAAATGAATCTGTTTTCCCCATTGACTTTGCTGGTCAGAAGGTCGCAAAAGCGGATCACATGACCCTAGACAATGCGACTGTCATAAATATAAATCACTTGACAAGCATCTGAATTTTGATTTCATGACCACAGAGATGCTGCAACAATTGTAAGTGTGAAAAACAGTCATGTCACTTTTTTCAGTCCCGTTGTAACTTTGAACAATCAATAAATGAACTGTTGTGAGTCAAGGACTACTTGTAATGCAGAACTACATGCAGGGTCATCCTATTTTGATTTTTTTTTTTTTTTAATTTGATTTATATGCCGCCCTTCTCCGAAGACTCAGGGCGGCTTACAATGTGCTCAGCAATATGCTGATATTGTTTATCAGTAAACAATAATAATGTATCAGAATTTGAGTTATATAAAGAAATGGGATTTACTAACACAGAGAATGCGTTATTCTTTGGATCTAAGCAAAAGGGAGATTATGTGTTATCAAGTCAGTATTGACTCTTAACAACCATATAAACAGATTTTCTGTATGACAATCTGTCCCTAACAAGTTTTTTTCAGATCTTCAAGAGGGATCCAGAACCTTCCCTCATTCTGATTTTCTACTGAGATCTCTTTTCACCAATCCATTTCTGTCTTTCAATCATTACGATGCAAGCTGCAGTTCAAGAATACATGTCTGTCTGATCCCCAATTTTATTGTAATTTCAGATCATCTTCATTCTATGGATCCCTGTATCTTCAATTTCCACAAACTATCTCAGTCAAAGAAGGAAAAACCACAATTTAAAGAAAAAAATACTGTTTGTAAGGCATTCCGCCCCCCCCCCCATCGTATTTCCTTTGAAAAAGCTTTGTTATTACCAGATCAATGGTGAAGGATATAATTACCTCAGATAAAGGCTTGGCTGGCTGGCAGTGCAGACCTCCAACAAATTCAAAGTTTGGTAGAAAAGGTCGTGGAAATTCAAAATCCCAGTAGGTTCGGATTAACCATATTTCTGCTTTGCCCATTATTTCACACAGCGTTGTGGGTCTCCCTATAGATATAAAGTACTAAAGCTATGTACTGCTCATATTCAAATACATTTATGTACTGCTTGTTTTTCCTACACTGGTACTTAATAGGTTTAGTGATGCTGATTTCAGAAATATTCAAAATCAATACATTTATGTTTTCAACTGAATGTTACTCAACAGTTTTAAAAAACATATTATCAAGGGTTAATAATAAATTAATAAAAACAGTAAACCCATAGACTAAAAAAAGTTAGGGGGAAACTAACCACTCAAGAAAAAAATATTATAACAAAAAAAAAACCTGCTGAGTTTCAAACCAAAGATTTTTTGTGTGCTTTGCAAAGATTTTTGCTATCTATTAATACTAAATACTATAGGAAAGTATGAAAGCTATCAAAGACCATGCTAAGCCCTTGTTTGTTTAAATAGATGAGTCATATTCTCTCTCTGTAGACATGAACATTTGAGGTAGCCCAAAATGGAAAGTGTTCTTCAGAAGGGATAAGTAAAACTTGCCCTGAAGTCACTTTCATGATACGTGAGGGATTACTAGAAGTTGATGCCCTTTGTTTCTATTCTCATAAAGCAGTTTGCCTATTCTGGTGATGGGGCAATTGACAATATGATACACCTAAAAAGGAAACAACAACTGAAACAGATGGCAGGAAAAAAAATAATTTCCTTTTTTAAAAAAACTCAACTCGGTGAATTAGAAATTTGTATTTGTTCCCAAAATTAATCTTCAATCATCTGAATCACATGGAATATGAACTATAAAGCTACAATGGAATTGAATGTGTAATAAAGTACAGGTCCTATGGAGATGCCCAAGTCAGGTTCTTGCCCAGTTATCTGGGAACATAGGAGGAAATGAAAGCAGCAAATGAGTATCAAAATATTTGACCAATACAAGATAGAACAGAAGATAGGCTGGTCCTATAATTTGATTTTTTAAAATGTATATCTATTCCCAGAAATCCACAGGTATAAATAATTATACAAACCTATACATGTGTGATGCTGTCCTTTTTAAAATGATTTAGTTATTTAGATAACTTGGCTAATACAAAAACTGAAATAACTGAAATTAGGAGCCAGTTTCCTTTTGTTCCATATGTGTTCATAAAGCCAAGCTAATAGAAAAAAATGTACCCTATGCGTAAAGCAAAAGTTGTATCATTCAATTCTTCCAGTATTGTTTAGGAATGTAAAAAAAAAATGGAGCCAAAGCTTTAATATCTAACAAAGAATTTCTTACATTGTGTGTTCTAGTAGAAGTAAAAAAAAAATGTGCTTTTTAAATTCTTATTTATTTATGAATAAACCCTGTAAGTTTATTAATGACAACAGAGATCAGATCTTAATTGCTTCTGGACCAGGTTCCAACCAAAGTATGCAAAAAAGAAAAAAAGAAAAAAAAGATTTAAGTTTCTTAGTAGGATGGGAAACGGACAGAAAACCCTGGATCCTGTTAAACTGGGTGCTTGCAAAAGCAAAACTGAACTATTTCTTTAACATGCTAGCCCATTTCTTTCTTAACGACAATGGTGGCCAGGAATATCAATAATTATTAGTGAGGAGGGAGAACAACAAAAGATACTTTTCAGTACTCTGTGTTACTTTTTGACCAATGGCCAAATACTAAAATTGTCTCTTTTTTCCTAGAGGGCGACCTCAGATTTAATAAAGGACAAAATTCAAAAAGAAACCTAAATCTGAGACAATCTGAAAGACAGATAGGCAAAGGCAAGACAGTTATCTAACCCTACCAAACATGGATTTAGAGTCTCACCTTGTGTTGTAAGCCGTTACTATTAACGTAAATACAACTAATATTTGAGGAAGATTGGGACATCTTGTTTTTCTATATCTGTATGAGATTATCCATATTTTATGAGTTTTGCAGAAAACTTCAGAACAGAACTAATGGTGCTAATAACAAAGTGCTATCTTTTTATACAGGAAGAAGGCAAAATTATACGTTACTAAATACATTCAGCTGGCCCTCTCTTTTATGTTTATTTTTATTTATTAAACAATAAAATAAATATACAGATCCCAAATTTAAAGTGAGATGGTACATCCAATTTATAGGACTTGTGAATTTCCATAAGAATCATATCTCTAGGTCTGAGGAACAGCAAACAAAATATGACAGCCTCACTGCAACATTTGCCCAAAAACAGAAACTAGACAGATGGAAGAATAAAAACCAACGAGACCAAAAGGAACAAAATGAGGCCGGATGTATAACTGTTTAAGATCAAAATGGTAGCCACAATGAGTTGATGGATCTGCATGTTTTTATGTGTTTTATATATATAACACAAATGAAGCTTTGATCATATCACCACAGATGCCATTTTGACTTCACCTTGTGAGCACCTCTGAAAGAAAAAGAGTATCTCATCTATTTTTTTCAATTCAAAAAAATACCAAACTTGCTCAAATGAAATTATAGTCAAGCAATAAAATTATCTACCTCAGTTTTTTCTCCCAGATCTTTTACAATTCCATCAACCCTAGCCAACATAACACAAGTAGGATTGACAGGCATATCTATTCTAATTTGTAGCAATGTGTTTAATTTATATCTTCAGAATGAGACTTTTCTAATTCTGCTTTATGAAAATTCTTTTAATCCACTGTTTTCCTTCAGTACTGAAAGCTACGCCAATGATACTTAGGAAGTAAATAAATGAATAAAACTGACTTACCCAAAACTTGACTGTAATAGGAATCCCATTCCCCCCAATATTTTTGGAAAACATAATCTTGAATGTAGTAAGACATAATATTTTTTATCCTTTCTCCAAATGACAATTTGTCTGTGAACCCAGATAAAGCAGCTGGAACATAAGAAGGAGGGGCAGGCATTTTTCCACAGTGTCTCTCCACTGTTGAGGCTGGAGAGAACCTTAGCGTGTATAAGAATGGGATGTTCAGCTTCACAGCAATCAAATCACCACATTGCATCACAGGATCAGAAAGAAGTACATCATATTTAGCATTCTTTAGCTTAGACATGAGTTCTTGATTAGATAGAACTGCTTCACACATTTGCCTATTGAGTTTATTTACTTTCTCCATCAATTTTCCTAGTTCCAGATAAAATCTATAAAAGGTTGTAATAGATGGTTTATTATCCCACCACAACTTTATCATATCCATGATCAAAAAATTAAACTCTTCCTTTGTAAAGGGAACAGAATATACTTCAAAATTGGCAGCTGCAATATCTCCGGATGTGATGAAGAGAGATGTTGTCGGAACCAGGATGCTGACATGATGATCTCTGTTTATCAGTTCCTGAATTATTATTTTAATATTTAGCCAATGGCTGGCATCTGTTGGCCAAATAAGCACATGCCCACACAAAACATTTTCTACCAGCGTTACCTGAACCATTAACAAGGGGATGACAAGTTTTATCGCAGTTGATCTTACTGATTTTGACGTCACTATAAGCTTTTCTTGGGCAGTCATATTTTCTTCACAGATTCTTCCTCAATAATTTCTGCAGAAAGCTTCCTGTCCTTAACCAGGTGGATGAGTTCAGTTTTTAAAAACCTCTAGTCAAATTCTGTTGTTTAAGGATAATTTCTGGAGTAAAGAAACAAAACTTTTTCACTACATCAGATTTCAGTACATTTATTCTTACATTACAAAATCAGTAAAATAACTTTACCCTTATCCAATAAACATGAATAAACTTCTCTTTGAATACCAATACAAAAGGGCTGGATGTTATCATTGATAGATATCCAGCTCTCTTCTCTTTAATGTAAACTATACAACCAAAGGGACTGATTTATTTCAGGGACTGATAAAGGCCTTTTTTCCCCAGAGGAGTGGGGACAAAAGTGCTGAAGAAAAGAATATTAGATCCTACCTTTTAAGAAAATAAGAGATAATGATTATCTTCAGAAAGTTCCAATAAGGATGGGCAATCAACCATGGCAACAAAAACTTTGTAACTCAAAGAAAATGATGATTCAGCTTTAGAACTATTACTAGAAACTTATTAACAAGGACTCAGTGAATGATTGGTAAAAAAAAAAAAATAATAATTGCAAGACTTTTCCAAGTAATCTTCCACTATAGTTAACACTACTGAAACCTCTTAAAGAACCTAGATTCTTATAGAATTTGCTCTATTTATAGTCAGATATGTTTCACCTCCTGCCAGTGTAAATGTAGACATACATTACACTGTAAAGCACAAGGAGAGATTCTTAAGATAAACTAATGTTTTTTTAAATAAAAATGCTTAGTATCTAAAAGTGAAATCAGACCAACACTAAAGCTATACTGATTAGTTTAAGCAAAACTAGTTCCACAAAACCCAAGTGTGCCCAAAGCAAGGCCTGGGACAACATGATAATTGTGGTCTGGACATTTAAGCAAATCAATTCCTTTCTTCATCTCAGTAAGTTTTATAGGCAAATTCAGACAGGCATCTTTTGCTAAATAAGCTTGGGGTACCTAAGAGATTACTCATTTCTTACTATGCCTTGCTGTAGTTATCAGGTTTCAGTATACTTTGCTTACTTTCACCTATGCTTTCTTGCTTGTCTCCCTCCATTTTCAATATATAACTAGGATGGCAGGCAAAATACAGATATTCCTTGATTTACAACCATTTGTTTCATGATCATTTGAAGTTACAATGGCACTGACAAAAGTGACTTATGACTGTTTTTCTCATTTATGATCACTGAAGCATTTCCATAGTCACATGATCAGAATTCAGATGCTTGGCACCTGGTTCATATTTATGATGGTTGCAGTGTTCCAGAGTCATGTGATCACCTTTTGCAACCTTCTGGCAAGCAAAGCCAATGGGGAAGCTAGATTCCCTTAACAATCATGTTACTAACTTGACAATTGCAATGATTCACTTAAAAACTTTGGCAAAAAAGGTCTTAAAATGGGGTAAAACATACTTAACAACTGTTTCACTTAGCAACAGAAATTTTGGGCTTAAGTATGGTCATAAATTGAGGATTACTTGTACCATGATAATAAATATTGAAGATGGCTCTGCCACTTAGAAAACTTTTGAAATCATGCTTTGTGCATTGGGAGACAATGTAAATTTGATAAATAAATGAAATTAAAAAAAAAGTCACCAAAAAGAATTTACCCACAGTTAATCTAATAAAAAAAGTTTGAATGCTTTTATTTCTTTGTTCCACTCACATGGCCATCTGTTCACCAGGTAACTCCAGGCAGCTAACAAGAATTAAAGTTAAATATACAAGAAAATGATAAAATAATGAAATATAATGAAATAGAGATTACATAGAGACCGCACAATTACATAGACAGAGAGGTCTGTTTTAATGATTAATAAAAATAAGAAATATTATTTTTTAATTAGAAATAAAGAAAAATTACTTCCTTTTATTGTTATTAATTCATTGTTATAATATGTATGCTTTTATCTTGAAATTGGAGGGAAAGGCAGAAATTTTTATTTCCTCTCACTAAATTCCAGAGGAAGCACTATGCTCTCTCTAATATAGTTTTTGTTTTATAATTGTGGATTTTGAAATATGGCTAATTTGAATACTATCAAAGGGAATATTAAAGGGACTAGATCAATAATTATGTGCAAGGGAAATAGTAAACTTTAATAAGTCAAATAGCATATGGATACAGGAAACATCAAAAAAAGAAATGATGTTAAAAATCCCATATACACTGTCTGTGGAGAAGGTTTTTAAGCAATGGCTCTCTAAGGCCAGAGGAATAGCTTTTTGGATTGCAAACTTCCTGAATTTTAGGATTACTAATTCAGTGAGCGACAATGAGGAGGTTTTATATTTCTAAAAATGTAAAGAAACAAACAGGGGAAATAAGAAACCAATAGAAAGAAAATGGTTTATCAGAAGATAAAAATCAGTGGAGATTGGATTTATAGGCTTTACAAGAAGATGGAAGCTATCATCTTCACCCATGACTACCTCATTTAATGATATTATTAATCAGCAGTCCACAACCTTTATGCCTCTGTGAACTGTCAGCAGCGGCAGGGGGGGGGGAGGAGATGGTTTTGTGTGTGCGCTACTTGCGCAAATGCAGCTTTGTGCTCTTACGCACTCACCTGCCACTTACGCAGCCCAATTCCCAACAGGCCGTGGCCCAGTAGACCAGACTACAGACAAGGAGTTGTAATAAATGGCAAACAAATCCCAGATTCATCAGAAGAATCATGATTCTCTAACCTAAACCTAATAAGAATTTTTATGAATTTTTGAAGAAGTAAAGGATTTTTTTCAAAAACATCTTTTTGTTTTATAAAGTAACAGGAGATATTAAAGAAATATTGTCTGAAAAGAAATGTGTCTAATAGTGTCCTTGGCTTTAGTCTGAAATGGGAAAGAAGTTAAATATTTATGAACATGAAAAATTCAAGACTGTCTACTAAAGCGAACATGTTGAATCTGTACAAACTTGTGAATCGCAGAAATTATGGATGGGGATATTCCTGCTTCAAACATTGCCAATGAAAAAGCATTCTCATGCATGTAATGAGTGTAACCTTACCTGGGAAAGCACAGAGCAACTGACTATTTGAATTACTTGCTTATTATGAAAACTAGGGAAGGGGTGGGAATTCATCAGGATTGCTTATTCTTTAAAAAACTGTAGAAAGATTTAGGAATGGTGAAAAAAAAGTGTTTGATACATTTCAAAATGCAAATCTATCTAATTATTATTTAATGGAAACTGAAATTTAATCATCAGCCATATCCAAAATTCACCAAACTTGTATTTTACCAAAATCTGATTATCTAGCTAGGAAAAATCTATACAAAAATATTTAATTTTTTAAAAATGGAGTATAAAATTATGAGTTATATTAGACAAAATGTAAATTCCAAACAAAAATGCCCATTTGGAGAAATGTACACCAGAGTACATACAATGACAACTGGATAAAAAATCCCAGTATGACAAACTGAATGTGCCAAATTTTCACCATAAGAAAAACCAGAATAAATTCAATCCTGTCTACAGATTTGCTTCTTGCTATAGAAACAGGAGACTTTGGTTTTATTAAGAAGACAAATAAGCAAGACTATAAATATAGATATAGAAATATCACACTTGTGCATTTGATGTCTATCAAAATCCTCATTCCTGAAATTTTCTTTGCCATGCTAAACCTTTGGAATGAGGTGGCTTTTGATTAGACATTAGACATGGCTTGGATTAGACAAAAACATTTCAGGTTAGTTTAGTTTAGGTTATAAAGTAATTCTTAACCTTCGGGACCTAGCTAAGATATTAGTGAATTTCACCTTCTGAAAGGCCGAAGTTCCAGAGCTATTTTCCATGACCTGCATCAATCCATCTATAGTTGTATTCCCTTAATTCCTTTCCCATCCAAATTCACAAATCCAGCAAAGACAAAAAGCCAGGATATGAATATTTGTTATCAAGTACACATACACAAGATATATACAATCATTCTGCTAGGGGCAGAATTACTTTCTTTTAAAATACTAGTACAACATTTTAAAAAGTAGCTAGTTTTTACTTTAATTGAAACCATACAACCATATTAACAATCAATAAGAACTCTTTTTAAAACAAGAAGTTTTAAATTTACCTATTCTTCATTGTCCTCCTTGCTTCTTTCCTCTCTGATAGCTTTTCTTCACAGTACAAAGACAAAAAGAGACTTAAGTAAGATTTGTTATGAATAGAGGTCTTAAATGGAAAATGAGAAATGTGAGAACTGGGCAAAAGAATATTCATTAGAGTATAATGATTATGCTATGCTTCATTGATTTAGTGACTGGGATTACATTCTTAAAGTAGATTGGATTAGCATGATTTGATTTTCAACTCTATTAGATGAACAAAATAAATCTCACATATTTCTAATGACCATAAATGGGAACAAATACTAAAGGTATCCATATAGGAATTTTATATTCATTGTATAATACTGTATGCATGGCACAAATTGACTTAGTAAAGTCACTTCTTCTACAAAGGAATTCATGCGTTGATGACATGGTCATAAACTCATGCCCAACATTTGATACAAATATATTAAGTTATAGCATTCACATATCATCCTTGCAGCAAGATGGGTGGCAAACAATTTAAAATTAAATAAATAAAGTGTAATTTCTTCCATCTCACCCTGCAGACACCCAAGAAATCCATCATTTGCTTTCTAGAGAAAATTTTCCCTTAAGTGTATTAAATAGACATGCAATGGCAAATACTAATGGGTAGAGGAGTTTGACAAAAAAAACTTCATTGAGCTACAGATGAATCAACACTGTAGGAACGAGAGCACAAAAGATGATTTTCCCCCTTCAAAATAAAAATTAAGCTAAAAAAGCATAAACTGTGTCAGAATATTGCCTACATGTGATGTACCAGAGACTAGAAGAGGTTAAGTCTTTACAGACATCACATGTGACTATATCAGCCAATGAACTCTCTTATTGGACTCTTACCAGAAACCACTTGGACATCTTCCCTGTATTTTTCTCTCTCTCTCTCATCTATCTCTCAGCAAGACAACACGTGAACTTATCTCTCCTCTCAACATCTGAGTCATACAGTTAGGGTAAAAGGTGCAACAGGACACCCTGTTCATTATTGTATGCATGTATATATTATGTAAATAATAAAACAACTTTTTGAACCCGAAGCTGCATTGACCAAATAACTTCCTCATAGAACCAAATGAACACGACCATCAATATATATCTGACAAATGGTAGCAGACGATGAAAAATTAATGCTCAGGTCTATGAATTTTTTTTGTAAATTTTAAAATCATAGAACGATTTTTCCTAACATGGAATCCTTGAAAGTGAACGAATTATCTTTACAAGAGATTGATGCATTAACCGTATCCTTAACAAAACAGCACCAATCATTATCCAAAAGACTAAAAAAAACTTTCTATTGAAGCTACGCAGCAAGTACAAACCTCTTTAAGAAAGGACCCAATTTTTTTTTCTCTTCACCTGAACACCGAAAGAACAGAACCACACTTACAACAACCTTGCGTCGATCTCAATTCTACTCCACCTCATGACTATCATAAAGGACTTCAACCTTCTGAATCCCTTGTATGTTCCAACCCTATAACTTTAGACCAACTTTTATTTTCTCAAGCTTCTCCAATACAGCATTTATATCAAGCTTTACATGCGACAGGCCTGCTAAATGCAGGCTGGACTCCTCAAAGAACTGTTGAACACCCTTTCAACCTCACCAGGCCTGGCAAGCGACAATTTTTTGCTTCAACCCATAGATTCCCAGACTGACCTTTTAAACACCTATTATATTAAAAATCCTCCCTCCCCACCTATTGACTTTATTGCTCCCAATATGGCTTCCACCTTCCCCGAAAGCATGGCTTCAAAAATGGCCGACAAAATGGCTGCCCCCACACTCCACCATGCGGTCCACAAAATGGCCGACAATTTATATGACCACACTTTAAACAAAATGACGTCTACCACTTCAGACCACAAGGTCTCATCCAACTCCCTTGCCCCCATACATCTTACTACCCACCCCACAACTGGAGATATTCAGACTGATTCCCTACCTTCTTCATCTAGAGCACCAAGTTCGAATCCTCCCAATTTTTTTTTCAATTTTCAGAACTTTTCTATTTTTGCTGCCGCTACAGACCTCCCCATCTATACCGCTGCAGCAGCTGCATATATTTCTACTGATACCAATATTGTTTCCAATGTAAAAAGATCCTTTTCAGTCTTTGCAGCCGCCGCCTCGCTCCCCCCTTATTGCCGAAGATGCCGCCGCTGCCGTTGCCGCTGCTGCCTCCAACACTACAGATGCCCCGTCCAAACAACAAATTCACACGATTTTTGCGGCTTTTGCATCAAAAGCCAACCTACCTTCTACAGCAGCCGACGCCATTGCAGCAGCTCTTCCGAATCAAACTACAACCACCACCTCCATTATTCCTCCTATTGTTGAATCACCTGCAACATCTTCTCTCACACCAAATGACTCCAATCAACAATCCGACGTTCAATTACCTATCTCTGCTGACAGTAACTCATTTCACCCTTCTATTACTGTAAACTAATGATTTAAATATTGAAACTAATCATTCTTTGTCTTTATCTACTAATGTAAATTTATCTTTAGAAATTGAAACTGTTTTGCAACATTTTAAACAACATGGCCCATTACCTTTATCACCAAACTTCAAAAAATTACAAACCTCAGGTAATAATTTCCCTACTTGGGAACAAGAAACTCATTTACATCTTTTAAGAGAAGGCACATTTCTTATAATTGAATCTCCCCCTACTAAACCTTGGTCATCTGACTTAACTTTTCTTCACAATAGTGTTTATGCCACTCTTATGTCAACTTTAGAAAGTGATATTGTTCATTCTATACCTACAGGTTTTACTGCACAAGAAGTATGGCAATACTTACAAAATCATTACAACAAACCCTCGCCTGCAACTATCGCTACTCTTGCTGGTGACTTTTATAGCACCATATATAAACCTGGCACATCTATGGCCAAACATCTCTTCCATCTCGAATCAATGCGAAAACAACTGATTCAACTCAATCATCCTGTACCTGAAACTGCCATGATTGGTATCATTTTCAATTCTATTAAACACATTCCTGGTTGGTCAGGATTCATTAATAGTCTCCACTCCTTACCACCACCACCCCCACATGTACACTGTCGTTGAAATCAAATCCAAATTAATAGACGAAGATAGAAGACTCTATCATACTGATACATACCCTACTTCTTTTGACCACCCTTTTTACCCTAAACATGATTCCCATCCTTCACATTCTTCACACAAACCATTCTATCAAAACAGGCAGAAACACCCTCTCAATATCAAAATAATTTTAATTATTGTAACTATAGAGGATATCATCAAACCTACAACTCCCATCCTCCACACGGTGACAACACCACCCACACTCATGATACAAGGGGATACACCCCTACAGACAAGACTAACAAAAGAAATCATACTATCAAAGAACCTAAAAGATCCATGGCCACTGAATTTTACATTAGAAAGGGTCCCACACACAAAGATTATAAAGACAGAAGGGGACAACATACTGAACAATCTATATATTCTAACTCCGAATCCCAAATATTCGGCATCTTTTCCAACACCCAACAATACCTGCGTGATACCATGCACTTATGGGTCATCGATTCTGGAAGCATACACCATGCCACCAATGACAAATCCATATTATATGATATTCACCCAACCAATATTTCAATTACAGCAGCAAATGATACTTCCAATACAGTTGAATATGAAGGATCTATCTTTATACCTGGTATAGGGGAAATTAGTCAAGTGCTCTATACACCTACCTTTGGCCACAATATTTTGAGTACTTCAAAATTAGGTAAAATCGGTTTTAAAGTATCTCTTGATGATCAACACGGTTTTATAAAATCCAAACATGATAACACTATTATTGCTAATATTTCTATCATTAATGATTTACCTTTTCTTATTCCAGATTCTTTACATCATCCTCACCCACAACTCAACTACTTCAATCCTCATCGAGACCTGACCCTGACAATCATCCTGACAGTACCCCTGACACCCACCACGAAGGTACCACACCTCACCATACCAATACACATGACACTTCCAAATCACATAAAAACCAACACACCACACCACACCACACCCCTCTCCAACTTCACCCACATCACAAAACCAACGAACTTCAAAAACAAAAATTCAAACTCATATAGGTGAACCTTTATATGATAATTGTGCCCATTTATTACACAGACGTTTAGCACATGCCAATAATGTTGCTGTAGACAATACTCAAAATTTCTCCCAAGGCATATGCACTAAGGATTGCCCTATCCAACTTGACTGTGAGTTTTGTAAAGCTGCAAAATCAAAGACAGCTCCAATTCCCCACACCAGCACCAGACGATCAAAACACATATACGAATTGGTACACGTTGACATTGTAGGCCCTTTTCCACTTTCTTTGGGCAAACGCAAATATTTTTTGAACTTAGTCGATGATTTCAGTCGTTTCGGACATATCTATACCCTTACTGAAAAATCTCAAGCATTCCAAAAAATAAAAAATTTTTACACTCTCATACAAAACCAACACAACATCAAATTAAAGAAAATTCAAACAGATTGTGGAGCTGAATTCACATCTGTACAATTTCAAAACTGGATTGGCTCCAAAGGCATTATACACTACAAAACATCTCCTTTTATCCCCCAGCAGAATGGGATTTGTGAAAGAAAAAATGGAATATTACAGACCATGACACGCAGCATCATGTTAGATGCTGATGTACCTGCTAGCTATTGGGGAGAAGCCCTTGCATATGTCAATTACACTTTTAACCGCACATGGAGTAAGGTTATTAACCAAACGCCCTACTTTCTTGTATATGGCACTCAACCACACCTCACACATCTTCGTGTTTTTGGCTGCTATGCATACGTCAATATCCCCAAACCACTCAGACCGAAGGGGAATGAGGTGTCCAAAAAATTACATTTCGTAGGATATGCACCAGGTTCGAAAGCATATCGATTCATAAAAAACAACAACACAGTAATAATTTCCCATTCAGCCACATTCATAGAAAATCACAACTGCACCAAAATACACTCAAA